AGGTGTGTGCCACTGCCCCAAAAGGGAAAAATAACTTTAGTTGATTGACATTTAAGCTAAAACCTGAATGATGGAAGAGAAAGAGCCATGCAAAGATCAGGGAAAAGAACTTATTAGATAGAAGAGACGGCAAGTACTAAACTCTGGGACAGGTTTAAAAAGATTTGTATGACTGATGGGACTGAGGAGGTGTGTGTGTGTGTGTGAGGGGGTTGACTGGAGATGAGTCCAGTGAGGGAGGCAGGAGTAAATCATGAAAATGAGTTAGGACAGGGCAAAGAAACTTGAATTTCAAGTTAACTGCAATGGAAACCTTAGAATGGCTTTAAACAGGATGTGATAAGATCCAATTTTACACTGGGAATTACTTTTGGTAACTTTTACATATAAAATCATTGAGAATGCTATTACAGTACAGTCAGCCCTCTATATCCCTCCAAGGTTCTACATCCGTGGATTCCACCAACCACAGATGGAAAACATTTTTTAAAAATTACATGCGCATGGGTGTACACACACACACACACACACACAGGAGAAAGCAGCAGCAGCCAGTAAGAAAAAAAAATATATATAAGGAAACTGTAGCAATACAGAAACCAAAGGAGGTTGTGGTCAACTGTGTCAGGTACCATTCAAGTGGAGTAAAGAAGCAACCATTACACTTGAAAAAATGGAAATTATTGGCGACCTTGACAAAAGCTGTTTCAAGGCAAGGAGGGAGCATAAGCATGACTAGTGAATTTGGAAGCGAGTGAAAAGTGAGAATAAATATAGACAACTTTTATTACAGATAATCAGGCCACCTCTGGCTATGCTTCCCAGCAGCCTTCCTCTTAAATCTCCACACCTTTGAGTTCCTCTGTTCTTGCAAAGCAAAAGGCAGATTTTTTTTTTCATTCATCTAAGTATTTATCGAGCGTGTACCATAAGCAAGGGTCAGTGCAAGGCGCTGTGTGAGTTACAAATGAAATTCTGTCCACAGGAAGCTTTTAGAACAACAGAGGCCATGAGACATATACCAAGATGAAGGCTCAGATGAAGTATTACAGGAGTTCAAAAGCAGCAGTTTTTCCTTTCATTTGTAAAAAGGGATTTAGAAGGCTCCACAGAGTAGGTGGCTTTTGAGCCTTTACGTATAGGCAGAATCTGAGGATGTGTAATTGAGGGCGCGGAAAAGAAGCAATTCCCCTCAAAAGAAATAATACAGGCGGTGCAGAGGCGGGAAGGTATGGACTGGTTTGGGGAGCAAACGAGTTACAGTTTGGCAGGAGCACGGGCTATTTGAAACACGAACAGGTCGGAGTAGGGATATCACAGGCGCTGTACCCATGGGCAAAGGTCTAGGTTCATAACATCGTCCAGAGACGTGGGAGTGAGCCCTCAGCAGCCAACACTACCCCTGGGGCCCGCGCCCCTACACTCCTGCCCGCCAGAGCTTCCCGGGCTCGTGCCCTTTCGCTAAAGCATTCTTTCCCGCCTCGTCCCGGAAGCAGGGGCTACAGTAGTGGACCCCACTCTTGCCCTCTCTGCAAGACCGTGGGGACCGCCTCCACCGCCCAGGACTCACCACCCTGTCTCTGAACCGCCTAACGCGGCCTCAACGTCGCTGAGCCGTCGCCATCTTTCCCATTTCCTGGTCGCCGAGGAACACCCTGGGCGCGCGGCAAGCTGGGAAGGCGAGTCCCCGGGCCTGCTCGGCTCAGGCAGGCAGTGAGGTCGGGAACTACTAATCCCAGAACGCACGGTGGGCGCGCCGGCCGGGCTGCGAGGTCTGCTGGGCAATGTGGTCCGTCAAAGCTTTTAGTCTGCGGAAAGAAGAGATTTCTGTGGGCGTGTAGCCCGCCGCACAGTCTTTTTCGAATGCGCTGGTCCTCTACAGTTAATGATTATCCTGACCGGTGGCTTATAGCGAAGTAATTTAGAGCTTCCTTAGTTAATGCTAGCACATAATGAAGTAACGGTAGTTAAAAGAGCGTTTTTACGAAAATTCTGAGAGATTATTAGTCTGTCCGTTTTACAGAAATTATTAGTCGTTACACTTTACAACTAGACAAACTAACGATCAGGTTCCAGGAGTAGATTAGTTTTTCACAAATGGGTTAGTTCACTGTGTGGAACTACCCCAGGTTTAGGAGTAACTGGGTTACTATAATATCCCTCAACTGGGTGAGTGCTGAACAACCCGTTATTAGGACAACTCAAAATGAGCCAACACATTGGACTCCAAAAGCCTCCAGGAAGGATGGTATCTCCTGAGCCGAGGCACCTGTTTTCTTAACATTCCAGATAGGACCCTGGCTTCCTCATTTTCTTGCCCTTTGGGATCTGGGTTATCTCATTTTTGTTGCTGCTTCTTCCTAGTTCCCCCTACTTAATTCCTCCCCTGAGCTTTTTTACCCCAAATCATATGCTCACTTTGTTTCTTTGGTCTCATGAATTCATAATTCCCGCCCTCTCTCTGATCCCAATAAGGACACACACACACACACACACGCGCGCGCGCGCGCGCACATCCTTGCCACTGTTGAGATAACTTACATTTTTCCATTTTGTCCCCTTTGTTGTTTCAATCTGCATGGCTGCAGGTCTGTTTTTTCTCCTCGAGTATATTTTCAATTCTCAAGCAAGGTCTCTAGGTAGATAAACATTGAGCATCAAGCACAATGGTCCAAAGTAACTCTAGGACACGCACGCTTTCTCTTCTAGCGCAGAGAAAACTGAACGCAGTTTATCTATTGAGTGTAATACACGAAATGAACACTAGAGGACTCTCTACTCACAGACTGGAACCGCAACTAAGAATCAGACCAAGGAAGCTAGAACCTTTAAGAGCTATTTATTGAGAATTTTTTGAGAATCTTCTAAGTGCCCAGCTCAATAATGGACACTTAACATTCGATACTTATTTTACTGAGTTTATTATAACAGTGTGATATGGGTGATATCTTGTAATATTATAGCCCAGATGGACGATTATGCTTTCAAAGTCCATATAGTTAAAAGAATGGCACCAGAATTCGACTCCAGATTAATTTACATTCAAAATTCAGAATCCATGCTTTTTCCCTATTTCCAGAATACCATCTCCATTATCTTTAACGATGAGGAAATTGAAACTCAGAGAGGTGACAAAGATTGTCCAAGTTCATGGTGATAGAATTCCTCCTAGTACTTGTGTACACATCTCACAACACATGTAAGACTTTAAACTTAAATAATACTTGTTGTAGCTAGCTGTGATGGCACAGGCCTGTAATCCCAGCGACCTGGGGAGGCTGAGATAGGAAGATCAAAAGTTCAAGGTCAGCCTCAGCAATTTAGCAAGGCCCTACGCAATGTCTCAAAATTAAAAATAAAAAGGGCTGAGGATGTGGCTCAGTGGTAAAGCATCCCTAGGGTAAATCCACAGTGCCCCCCCACACACACACACACAAAAGAATACTTCTTTTTCTTACTTTGCTATTTCTCTCACAAATATATATCTCTGGAGATGGAGATAGGAGGGTCTAGTAAAGAACTAGTAAAGAATATTGGTGGTTTCTTGTTTAGCTACAACAGTAAGGGGTCCATGGGATTATAGTTATCATAATTAGAAAATTATGATATCTAGATTGAATCCTGATTCAAATATTTACTAGCTAGCATGATCTTGTGCATGTTATATGACACCTCTTATTTTTCTCTCTCATTTATAAAATAGGGATAATTAATACTTCTTGTCTCACGGGATAGGATAGCAGAATAGTTAAGAGTGCATAATCTAGAACCAGATTACCTGGATTTGTAACCATGTTCTATCACTTTCTAGCTGTATTACCTTTGGCACATTAACTAATCCCTTTGAACCTGAATGATTTTGCTGTAAAATGAAGTAGCTAGTGCTTCAAAGGGTAATCACAGGAATAAATCACAACTCAAAAGTGCCCCCGGCCCACAGTAAAAACAGCAAATGTTAGCTATGATCATTTATAAGGTTAAATTTGATAATGTAGGTAAATCCCTTATGTGCTGAGCACTTAAGTAAGAACATAGTAACTTTTAATTCAGCACTACACTATGAAACTTGGAAAACAAGAGTTGTGAGTCATTGAGAAGAAGGAAAATTAAGGCCCCTGAGCTATAATCAACAGGAGCTGGAATTATGTATTTTTGGTTTTGGTTGGTTTGGTTTGATACCAAGGATTGAACCCAGAGGCAGGGCACTTAACCACTGAGCCACATCTCCACCTCTTTTTTGTCTAAGTTGCTAAGGCTGGCCTCAAACTTACAATCCTCCTGCCTCAGCCTCCTGAGTCACTGGGACTATAGGTGTGCACCACTGTACCCAGTAGGAACTGGAATTGAAAGTTCAATGACAGAGGTCACCTGTTCTTGAACTTAAAACTGGCACCTCAGAAGTCTACACCTGCCTTGGCTTAGTCTGTGCACCTGTGTGTGTGGGGGGGGGGGGTACTGGAGATTGAACCCAGGGCCTTGTGCATTCGAGGCAAGCACTCTACCAACTGAGCTATAACCCAAGCCCAGTCACTGCACCTTCTGCTAGGGGTGGGACTCAGCTACTCAGCTGCTTTCTCTCTCCTCAATATTCTGTAGGACAGTAGTCCTCAACTGGAAGTAATTTTGGCAGGGGACATTTAGCAATATCTGGAGACAGTTTTGACTATGACAACAAGTGGATGCTACTGTCATCTAGTATCTGCCAGATGCCATCTAAATAGGACAGCCAGCCCCCTTACAAAAACAAAAACAAAACAAAAGCATTCTCCAGTCCAAAGTGTTAGAACTTAAAGGGTAAGGGCTAAGGAGATTTTCCTTGGCTTAAGAGGACGTGAGTGGGATTGAAGCTGGGAATGGGGGAAATGAAGAAATTCTTTGTTGGAGGTGCTAGGGAACCATGGAGGTAGTCACTCTGCAACCCACAGAAAGGCTCCAGAAAAGTGTTTCCCTGATTATTAATGATCAAGAAAACAAACAACAAATAAAATAGAGTCAACTTGTTTATATGTGTTATATTTTTCATTAATAAATAGGTTTTCTTCTTGAAACACAGAACATATAACAGATTGAAACACTCCCCCCTCCCCCCCAATTCCAAAGACAAGAGTCTATAAAACAAATGCCAGCTGTACTGCCCTAAGAGCAGGAAAAGTCTGGTGACCCCCACCCGGCCCTGCCCCTGCAGCACCACCACCCCCACACTCTGCAAGAGAAGGGGGTCTGGGGCTTCTCCCTTGGACCCTGGGGACTTAGGTGAGAAGCATGTGAATGTATGATGTCACCTCTTCATGAGGCTATGTAAAGATGAGGTTTCCTTCTCATCAGCTCTGACCAGCCCCTGCCCCTCTGATTTCATTGCAAAGCACCTGGGCTAAGCTCCCAAGGGAGCTGTCTCTTGGCTTCCCCACTCTCCATTCCTCTGCCACCTGCTTAGAGGGGAAGAGAACGGCTCAGGGACCCCTCCCATCCCCCAGCCTGCATGGAAATACTGTGTGGAACAGGCATGATGCTGAAGGTGAGGCTCCTGTAGGCCCCCAAGCCCATGAGGCCAACATGCCCCCCCACTCCCCCACACCTTTCCTTCCTCTGGAGTGAGGGGCACTGGGGCAGCTGCCCCCTCCAAACCTAGTGCCTGGCTTGGGGTGTGATGGTTCTTGCTCAATGTCAGGTCCTCATGCCAGGCCTGGCTCCATCCTCATACCATTCCTGTCTCCTTCCAAGCCCTCACGGTGGCCATCTGAAAACTCATGTCCAGTGTCCTAAATTGTCTCATCCTCCCTCTCCCCGTGCCTCTGCACCCTAAGGGAGGAAGTGGGGGGTTATCTCCCCTCCCAACTCCCACTTCACATAATGGAACAGCTTTTGGCCTTTTCCTTCTTGAAGGTAGAAGAGATGAGTTCAGAGCGACTGGGGAGGTGGAGTAGTCGCTTGGAGAGGCTTCTGACAGGGCTCTTCGGGGGCACTGGGTTAGGCTTGTTCAAACACACCATGGATGCCATCCGAAAGATGCTGTGGACACTCTTCTCTGAGGTGAAAGCTGAGCCTTCCAGATAGATTTCTGCACCCAGCTGCTTGGCTATTGCACATCCCTGAGGGAGGGGGTGAAGTCATTAATACAGTAGTCCAAAATGGTTGGTAAACATGTGAACTTCTAAGTGCTACTCCTAGGATTATTCCAGATGGCACCCCACTGCCAGTCTCCTACCACCAGCCTAAGTGGGTTATTTTATATATATATATATAAAATAAATTATTTACATATATTTATATTTTATATTATTATTTTATATATACATATATATATTTAGTTGTAGATGGACACAATGCCTTTATTTAATTAATTTATTTATTGGTGGTACTGAGGATTGGATCCAGTGCATCACATGTACTAGGCAAGCACTCTACCATGGAGCTACAACTCTAACTCCTAAGCCGGTTATTTTGTGCAAGTGAAGCCTGACTGCACATTAGAATCACCTGAAACACTTTTAAAACTATAGTGATCGTAGAGCAAGTAAATAAGAATTTGGGGGGATAGTGTATAGGCATTTGGTTTTTGTTTGTCATTTGTGTGGTGTTAGGAATCTAAACCAGGGCCTCATGCATATAAAGCACATGCTGTATCACTGAGCTATCCCCAATCCCAGCATTACTATGTATGTATGTATGTATGTATGTGTGTGTGTGTGTGTGTGTATATTTTTGGGGATACCATAGATTGAACATAGAGATGCTTAACTACTGAACTACATCCCTAGCCCTTTTAATTTATTTATTTATTTTTAATTTTGAGACATGGTCTAAGTTGCTAGAGTCTCCCTAAATTGCTGAGGCTGGCTTTGAACTTGTGATTTTCTTATCTCAGCCTCCTGAGTCACTGGGATTACAGGCGTGCAGCACTGTGCCCAGCTAGCATTAATATTTTTAAGAGCTCTCCCAGATGACTCTAATGAGAAACACTGGCTTAAAAGAAATGATTCTGTGTGTTAGAAATTATCCAGGATTCTCATTAAAAATGTAGATTTTCATGTCTTTCTCCCAAAGGGATTTTTTTTTTGGTACCACTGGACCACTGAGCCACATCCCTAATCCTATTTTGTATTTTATTAGAGACAGGGTCTCACTGAGTTGCTTAGCACCTTGCTAAATTGCTGAAGCTGGCTTTGATCCTCCTGCCTCCGCCTCCCGAGTTGCTGGGATTACAGCTGTGAGCCACCTGCTCAGCTTCCAAAGTGATTTTACAGGTAGGGAGACAAGAATTCAAGATTCTAACAAGGGGGCTGGGGATGTGGCTCAAGGGGTAGCGCGCTCGCCTGGCATGTGTGTGGCCCAGGTTCGATCCTCAGCACCACATACAAACAAAGATGTTGTGTCCGCCGAGAACTAAAAAATAAATATTAAAAAAAAAAAAAAAAAAGATTCTAACAAGGACCTCTAATGATTTTTTTTTCCTGCATGGTACTGGGGATTGAACTTGGGGGCCCTCCACCACTGAACTTCATTCCCCGCCCTTTTTAATTTTTATTTTGAGACAAGATCTAAGTTGCCCAGGCTGGCCTGGAACTTGATGATCCTCCTGCCTCAGCCTCCAAAGTAGCTGAGATTACAGGCTTGTGTCACTGCACCCAGTTAGGCAGCTCTAATGATTCCACTGCAAGTGGTCTACAGAAAACAATCTTAAAAACCCACAACGGGGGCTGGAGTTGTGGCTCAGGGTAGAGTGCTCACCTGGCATGTGTGAGGCACTGGGTCTGATTCTCAGTGCCACCTATAAATAAATAAATAAAATAAAAGTCCATCCACAACTAAAAAATTAAAAAAAAAAAACCTCACATGGGGCTGGGGTTGTGGCTCAGTGGTAGCACACTCGTCTGGCATATGTGAGGCACTGGGTTCGATCCCCAGCACCACATAAAAATAAATAAAACAAAATAAAGGTATTGTTTTAAAAAAAACCCTCATGAATTGTTTATCTACTCACCTAGAGCATACATCTGGGTAAACAGGTAGGTACTCAACACACCATCCAAATGATTAATTTGCTAACTATAGATAAAGCCCCTAACACCAATTCCCTCTTGCCATGGCAAGAAACTTTGAGCAAAGGCCATGTATCAAGGCCTCTGCCTGTGGCCTTCTCCACCCACCCTCCAGCATGCACACTCGTGCACACGCACACACATATATACACATACCTGCTCATAAGAGATAGGTGCCTGCTTCTGGTGAGACAGCTCCATCAGTGTACTCAGGTCTGTTCTCAGGTCTGTCTTGCAGCCAATAAGCAAAACACGGGTGCTGGGACAATAATCTAAGATTTCTGTCCTCCACTGAGGCACCAAGTGAGAAGAAGGGAAGAGGAAGAGGGAAGGAAGGAAGGAGAGTCAGTGATAGATACTGGAAGAAGCCTAGTTGGCAACACCACACACACACCACTCAGATTATCACCAACCCAGTTCTCCCTCTGACTCACAGCATCTCTGCTGCACTAATTACATCATCTTTCTGCCCATGAGGCCTTTGGTGGCACCAGAGTGCTGACCCAAGAGCCTGTCCCTTCACTCAACAATCCAGTCACCAAGAAGAACACAGGGGCCAGTCTCCTCCTACTCCCTGCCAAGCAAAGAGGACATGGATCTACCCCCCAAAACCCAAAGGGCCTCATAAGTCAAGAATAGCAGGTGAAAGACAACCAATCTCTTCCCAAGGGAAGGACATAATCACAGAGTCTTCTGGGAAACTAGGCTAGTTCCATAAGGTTTCCTGGGACTCCTCAGTATAGGCATATCTTGCCACCCAGACACAGGCATTTCCTGTCAGCACTTCAGCTCAGAACCACCTATCTTAGTGGACAAGGGTCTATAGAATCTACCTCCAAAACGTCCCATCCCCAACCCTCAAATCACATCATCCGAAAATTCTCTGTCAGTCTTTCATTTCCAGAATCTTCAACACCACCCTCCCCTTGCTGGACTTCTAGAAAAGCAATATGGGATAGTTGAATGGTCAGAAGGTAGAGGGGTAAGGAGACCTAGGTTCTAGTCACAGAGTTGTAGCTAATGGTGTGGCCCGGGCAAATCTCTGCCTTTCCTGGCCTGTTTCTTGATGGTATGGTACATAAAAATAGAAGACAAGGTCCCGAGGGTTCTAATACTCTTGCTGAGTTCAAGGTTGTAGTTTATCTTCCTTACCTTCTTGAGTGCACTGTCCACTGTCTCTGGACGGCTGATGTCAAAGCATAGTAATACTGCATCTGAGTCGCTGTAGCAGAGTGGGCGGACATTGTCATAGTAGGGAGATCCTGGCATAGGGGAGAAAGGGCTGATAGTGAACCATGGCATTTTCCCTCCCTATAGGCCTTAGCCCAAGGGCTCTGGGAATACCATTTTTGATCCCTTAGGTTCCACCCATCTCCCAGGCATGCTGCCTGGAAGCTTGGGACCCAACCCAGAAGGCTCTGTAAGACTATTATCTTCCTTAGTCTTAAAAAACTGAAAGAGGGCAAAATAAAAGGGATTGAAATATAATTTGACTCTGTGTGCATCTCCTACAGTGGGCTTTATTTAAGGTCTATTAGTTTTCTGAGTCCCAAAAGATGCTGCCAACCCTTGCAGGAGGATCAGGGTTTGTTTAAGTTCTCCTTGGGAGTCTGCTTGCTGCCCAACCTGTGCTCCCTTCCTCTGCCCCAGGGTCTCCTCAGTGAAGAGAAAAAAAAAAAAAAAAAACCAGCCTGTTATATAACTGGCTGCCCTATTATTTTGCCATGGGGTCAGAACTCTAAGAGTTGGACTGGGGAGAGCATCAAGGATTCAGCACCCCACACCCCCACCCACCCAAATCAACTTATATTGCAAAGGGTAAAAGGAAAGTTCTAACCCCTGGCTCCGAAGAGGGAAGCACTCTCAAAGACAGCAGCACTAATAGCTGGGCACTTAGAGGCTAGAGCAAGGGTCCTTCATTGGATGGAGTAGGCAACGCAGACCCAGGGGTGTGATAGGGGTGAAAGCTAGGAGCTGAGCCTGCCCTCCTCCACCCTGGGGAAGGAACAGTAGCAGATTTGGAACCCAGACAATCCGTGCTCAGAATAGCAAGCAGCCCCTCTCCCTGCACCACAATCGCCATGGAAACTGGGGGGAAATCCAAGCTGGGGTGGGGGGAGTTGGTCATTAAAAAAAATAAGTAAGGGGGAGTTAGGATAGCTGCCTGCTCCTTCAGCAATCCAACCTGTCCCTTTCTGAGGTGGGGGTCTGACCACTGCAGCACTGAGGAAAGGGAGCACTGCAGCACAGGGAAGGGGGAGGGGAGGAGGTCTCCATTTTGGCTCAAGCGATCCCCCTCCCCTAAGACCAGCAAATGAATAATGGGAACAGGTTACCCTGGTCCTAATGTGTGGAAGCCCCATTCCACACATTAACATCACTTCCTCCTTTTCTTATGGAAACCTCATTTGAAGGAGGGAGTCTGAGGAGGACTGATAACCTTCATCCTTTTAGAAATACTAGGACAGGAGTGCAACACAGGATATAGAGACCACATTTGCTGATTTTCCATTATCTGGATGGGGATTCAAGGGCTGCATTCTGACTAGGGGGCGGGGGGGGGGGGGGGGGCAGGAGCAGGGAGCGGGAGAGATGATTTTTGGGCGGTAGTGGTGAAAAGAGATGAGCTGCAGCAAGGTTCTGAGAAGACTGGGAGGTGAGAGGGTACAGCAGAATAAAAACCATACATCATGCAGCCAAGCTGCATTCCAGTCCGATCCAGGCCAGCGTAGCACAGACCAGGATAATCCAAACCCTGCCTCCCCGCCCCTGGCACTGCAACCGAGGAAAGCATACAAGCTTGAGGAATTTTTGTTTGGGAAAAAAAGAGAGTCTCATTTTCTTTATACCCATCTTCCCACCTCCAATCTTTTCAGACCTCAAAATTGGAGCATGAGAACAACAGCTTTTGGAGGAGTAGGGCGGCATTCTTTTTACAGATAATAGGAAACCCCTAGTGATTTACAGTTCCTCTTTAAACTCAGCCTGAATATGCATCGGAGTGGATTTTATTTTCTTTCTTTGCTGAATTCTACTCCTTATTTTGACTGTGAGCCAGTCTATTAAAAAAAGATTGGGGGTAAAGAGAAAATGAGAAGGATTCAGAATCAAAGCAAAGGATAGCCCAACACTAAAGGATTGGGGTTGAGAGCCTGGGAAAACATTGTTTCCCATTTTCAAAAGACAGTGCATTTTCTACTTCACCCCAGAACAGGTTAAATAGTCAGAGCCTTCACCCTGAAGACCACTATTCACAACATGACCATGCCCTAGATTAAGCCATCTCCCCCACCCTCCAAAACATCGATGATGCATCACTTCATCCCCAAGCTGCAGTAGTGTGACGAGTGGAGCTGAGCTGCGGCAGGCTGAGCAGTGGCCCAAGATGGAATGCAAGAGAGAAAACTGAGTCTGGGCAATATTCACCCCAAAGCAGGCTTGTCTCCCTGCCCCACCAACATCCTCCAGCAGAACTGCCTCCTGACTGATTCAACTTTGCTCTGGGGAACTAAAGGCTGTGTGCAAGGATGAGCAGTGTAGGTGTGTGTGTGTGTGTGTGTGTGTGTGTGTGTGTGTGTGTGTGTGTTGGGCAGCAGGGAGTGGAAATGGAGAAGCCCTGCCTGCTACCCCCAGGAGTATTCATGGGCCACTTCACCTCACCATCCCAGCCTCTGAAAGATAGAACTAGACCCAGAGAACTTGGCGGTTTCTGGGGTTTATCCACTCTGCATCCCTGGACAATTCCACTGAGTTTACCAATGGCTCCCACTCCCAATCAAGGAATTTCCAGCTCCCTATTCTCCTCCCCACCAAATGGGAAAATAATTTTTAAAAGACATACAGCAGACTACCAGTGGAAGTGGGAAAGGGACATTTGGGACCATAGCCTTACCTGATGTATCCCAGAGACTAAGCTCCACTCTCTGTTCCTCTGTCTCCAAACAAGCTGTGTAATTCTCAAACACAGTAGGCACATAGGTCTGTGAGAAGAGAGGAAGCATTCACATCTGGACACTTCTGTCCTCAGAGCCCTCCAATTAGTGCTGGTTACAGGAGAAGCCACTCACCACCCTCTGAGACACTAAAGTGTCAGGGGATAAGGAGCCAGAGGAGGGGATACATGGGGCAGGATGGAACACATGGGACAGAAGGAAAAGGACTATAGAGGCACAGGCACTTGGGTCTATACAAGGGATGACCACAGCCCCCTTCCCTAGCCAGGGGCAAGCCCCCCTCCCCATATCCTAGATGGTTACACACACACACACACACTCCTCCCAGATTTCTCTCCCAATTTCAGAACCATAAGCCAATTCTGACCTCAGTATTCTCCCCTCAAGCCTTTTGGCCCAGGTGAACAGCAAAAAAGGGCAACAGAATTCTGCCTGCAGCCATACTCATGGAACCTTTGAGGAGCCAGTGAGGGTGTGGGCAGGTATTACCTAAGAAGAAACCCCAGACTCTCCAGTGCCTCCAGGGACGAAAGAAAAGAGGGGATGTAATAGGTGAAGAGGTGAAGAGGAGCCGGCGGGGCGGCAGAAATGGGACAGGTCTCAGGGGAAGCCAAGGCAGGGCAATCCTCCAGCCAGAGAGCAGCTGAGGGTGGGGCAGGCTGGGGGTGGGGAAGCCGGCTCTCCTGGGCAGGTGGGAATCGACCCCGGGCGGGCGAGCAGGGAGAAAGGCTGGGCGACGGGCAGCTCACCTCCGGGTAGCAGTCCTTCGCTAGCACCTGTAACATCGCTGTCTTCCCACACTGCACATCTCCCACCAGCACGAGCTTACATCTGACCACCACTGGCTGGGGTGCCCGTCTCTCCTTCATAATTGCAGCCTCCGAGGGACTTGGACTCGGGATTCAGAAAGGAGCGGGTTGCGCCAGGTGTGCCCCAGCCCACCAGCTCAGCTGAATTCCCTGCCTCCCTCCAACTGAGGAGGAGAGCGGCACAGTGCCCTTATATCTGTCTGGTTGAGCCAATCACAAGAGGAGGCGGACTCTGTTGAAGCCAATCCTTGGGGTGGGATCCCCTGCAGCATCCAATGGTAAGAGGATCTGAGTCAGCGCCCTCTTCCTCCCTCCCCTTTCTCTTAAAGCTGCACCATTGCTTCCTCTTGAAAGGGGATTCCCACGCTGTTTTGTATTTGTATTAGGAGGGAGGAGAGGAATTGAAGCAAAATGAAATAATCTTGGAGTATCCACCAGATAACAAAAACATAAGCTAGTCATGGAAACAGAAGGTGAAGTCAAAATGGAGTTTTAGGGACTGTCCCAAGAGGAAAACAGGACTTGCCTAAATTATGGACAAGCAGCACCTGGGATTGGGGAGGGACGGGATGGCCCCAGAGATCTCTGACTCCTTTGTTTTCATCTAATTCCTATCCAAACCACTTCCCACTTCTGGCTTTGCCTCCCAATATCAGCTCCTACGGTACCCCTTTTAAAGTCTCTTCTGAAGATACCCTTTTAAAATCTCTCTTGCTGTACCTCTTTTAAAGTCTCTCCCTCAGGAATCACCTTCACAAAATGAACAAACATACAGTTTTTGAACCAGAGATTGGCAGAGAGAATGAGGGAATCTGCAAGTGGGGGGTGAAGCACAGGAAGAGAACAAAACAACATGCTCTGTTGGCCAGACAACCTCTCACCCCAGACCTAGCAGGAGATGCTTAAAGGTGTTTGTTCTGCTGCCTGGGTTCAGCTTCCTGGATGAATCAGATGCAGGTCTAATTCCAGGTTGACACCAACTGATACTAACACTCTAACATGTGTCACCTGGTTAAAGTCCAGCCTGGAAGACTAGGCCTGGGAGTTTGGGATTAGAAACTGGAGGGTAATCTAAGGTTGAGATGAGCTTCATCCTTCAGAGCACTTGCATCTCAGAGGCATCTCTACTAGACAGAACCATGGATATACATAGCTCATATAAATCACTGACTATCCAGTAACCAAGGTGTCCAAATAAGGCCTCCAGGGGATTAGGGATTAACAGAAGCCAATTTAGGGCAAATTTGAGAGCAATCCAGAGTCTGTCTTTAGATATCTTCACCTGGACAAGTCTAATACCTCTGGAGCCCTGGGTCTTTTATTCTTTTCTTTTCTTTCTTTTTTTTTTTTTTAAATACCAGGGATTGAAATCAGAGGCGCTTAACTGCTAAGCTACATCCCGAGTTCTTTTTATTTTTTATTTTGAGTCAATATCTCCCTAAATTGCTTAGGCCATCGATAAACTGCTAAGGCTGAATTTGAACTTGCAATCCTCCTTCCTCAGCCTCCTGAGCTGCTGGGATTACAGGCCATGTGCCACTGCACCCAGCAACATGCCCTGGGTCTTATTCCATCTGAGCTCTTAATTCACACTATTGCTATCCAAGGACATTTTCCCCACAATAAAGGATGTTTAGGGCTGAGGATATAGCTCAGTTGGTAGAGTAGTAGAGTACTTGCCTTGCATGCACAAGACCCTGGGTATGATCTCCAGAGAGAGAGAGAGAGAGAGAGAGAGAGAGAGAGAAAGGAATGAAGGAAAGGGAAGGATGTTTAAAAGCCTTCCAAGACCCAAACAGACAGATCTTTCAAAGTGAGATTTCCTGTGCTCACTGTGGACAGCAGGAGAGTGGAGATTATTTTGAGAATGTAACCTAACTAGTGTCCTTCCATTCTACCCTGTGGTTTCCAAGTTCAAGCTGCTTGGCAGAGGGCTCTTGGGCCAAGGCCTGCACTGCCCTCTGCCCATCTCCTAAGCCCTATCATTTCCAGGTATGGCAATTACCTGAGAGAAGCTCTAGGGTAGAAAAAGAGTTATTCAGGGGCTACCATTAGCTGGTTACCTTCCTCTCCCAGGCCCTCTGGAAATTTCTTCCCTTGACCTTCACCCAGGTCTCATCCTCAGCCTTCTGATAATATTCTATCTATGGAATTTGTCCTCTTCTTGCCCTTTTAAAGCAAACTGACAGATTCTCTGAGCTGCCCATAGTGTAGCTTGGGAGAGTTCCAGAGCAGCTGCCACAACCTGGAGTCCTTTCCCTCAGCCTGACCTTCTCCTTCTGTACCTGACCATTCCCCACCCTCTGTCTCATCTGTATTTAGTTCAGGAAACATCAGTAGGATTCCTATGCGTCTTCTTAACCCTTAACTGGGTTCCCTCCAATTGCAACCCCTAAGGTCTTAGGCTTCTCTCTATGTTCTCTCCCAGTCTACCTGTCCACATACAACTTCCACCAGCCATTCCAAATAAACATTCAATACAAGTAAAAAGAGTTCCTGCTATGCAGATAGATTCCTCTGCCTTCTAACAAGATTGCCATTCCTGAATTCCTCTGAGGTAGAAATTCTGGGAGCTGATGCCAGCACTGACTTTTCCCTGGGTGGCTACATTTCAGGGAAATGTAGCAGAAAGTCTGCGCAGTGACACAGAGTAGCCTCCACCATGGCTGTCTCAAGATGTGTCTCCAGAGATATCTTGTGAATCACATGTCTATGAGTCATGGTGGGAAAGGTGTTGTGAGGTGGGGGGCACGGGCATGTGTGTTAGGTCAGAAGGCAGTGTGACAAGACAAAAAGAGGATGAAGCCAAAGTTCTACAGATCTGGGCACTGGATTCAGCTCTGTCCTTAAGCTGTGTGCCTTTGGGTGACTCACTTCCCTCTCTGGGCCCTTATTTCCCTAAATGTGATGTGAGGAGTTTAACTAGAAAAGGCCTTTTTTTAGAGTTAGGTTCCCTGCCCCAACTTTATTTAAACCTTCTCCAAGTGTCTTTATTTAAAACTCTCTAAGATGGCTCTTTCCTATTAAAACCAGAAAAGTTCAAGACAAGGTTATACTTGAAAGCATTATGCCAAGGTGAAAAAAATCCAGTCGCAAAAGACCACATATTGTATGATTCATTTATATGAAATGTTCAGAATAGGCAAATTCAAAGAGACAGAAAGTAGATTAGTGACTGCCTAGGGCTGTAGGGTTGGAGGAAATGGAGAATGACTGCAAAACCACTGAATTGTACAGTTCAAATTGGTGAATTGTATGGAACATGAATTATATTTTGATAAAGCTCTTACTTTGAAAAATAAGATAATTCCAAATCATCTTTATAAAATCTCTATTAATTTGTTGTTTTTTTTTTCTTGTGGAAATGTTAAAACATTTATAAAGAAAGAATAAGTGGGCTGGGGATGTGGCTCAAGCGGTAGCACGCTGGCCTGGCATGCGTGCGGCCCAGGTTCGATCCTCAGCACCACATACAAAGATGTCGTGTCCGCCGAAAACTAAATAATAAATATTTTTTAAAATTCTCTCTCTCTCTCAAAAAAAAAAAAAAAAAAAGAAAGAAAGAAAAGAAAAGAAAAAGAAAGAATAAGTGATCCCCATGTACTCATCTCTCAGCTCCAACAATTATGAGCATAATCCTGATTCATCTTTACCCCCACCCACTAGCTCCCCTACTTCTTCTGTACTGGATGATTTTTAAATAGTTTTCCTTTTTTTTCATACCAAGGGGCACTTAACCACTGAGCAACATTCCCAGCCCTTTTTATTTTTTATTTTGAGAAAGGTCTTGCTGAGTTACTTAGAGTTTCACTAACTTACTAAAGCTGGCCTTGAACTTGTGATCTTCCTGCCTCAGCCTCCCGAGCCACTGGGTTAAAACAAATTTTAGACAGATATTTTATCCATAGACATTTCAGTATTTATCTTTAAAAGAAAAATACTCTTTGCTAACAACCACACACAGTTATTGCAGCTAAAGAATAAATAGCTTAACTATTTATATTGCCAAATACTCTGTCTGTGTTAAAATTTCTCTGACTTTGTTATATATTGATGCATTCAAATAAGAATCTAAACAGGGTTCATACATTGAGTTTCGTTGATGTGGCTTTTATTTCATAGACTTTTTCTTTTTCTTCTTTGTGTGTGTGTGTGTGTGTGTGTGTGTGTAGAACACACACACAAAGTATAGAACCCAGGGGTGCTCTACCACTGAGCCACACACCTTGACTTTTTTTATTTTTTATTTTGAGACAGGGTCTCACTAAGTTGCCCAGGCTGGCCTGGAACTTGTGATCCTCCTGCCTTAGCTTCCTGGCTGCTGGGATATCACGTGTGTGCTGCCATGCCAGCTTCATGGACTTTAATTCTATAGGTTCTCCCTTCCTTTGCTGTTTCCTTGCCATTTGTTTCTTAAAGAAACTAGGTTTTATATTCTGTAGTAGCTTCCATATTCTCAGTTTTATTGATTGTATCTCCAGTGGTGGTTTATTATTATTTATTTATTTCAGTGGTGTTTTTTATAGATATAAACTCTTAAAAATTCAATTTCAGGGACAGGGGTTGTAGCTCAGTGGTAGAGCACTTGCCTCACATGCATGAGGCACTGGGTTCGATCCTCAGCACCACATAAAAATAAATAAATAAAGATATTGTGTCCATCTACAACTAAAAAAAAAAATTCAATTTTATGCAGAATCCCAAAACAAAGACGAAAAACATAACTGGTTGAATCAGAATGGGGACATGCAGTGGAAGTCAACCAGTTTTCACTCCCCTCCTGGGTCCTTCCAAGGGACAAATCCCAGGGAACACAGTTTAAAAACTGCTAAGTCTGCCAGATTCAGTAGCACACACTTATAATCCCAGCTATTTGGGAGACTAAAGCAGGAGTATCATAAGTTTGAGGCCCTCCTCAAAATTAAAAAAATAAGGATTGGGGGCTGGGGTTGTGGCTCAGTGTCAGAGCATTTGCCTAACATGTGAGGCACTGGATTCAATCTTCAGCACCACATAAAAATAATAAATATAATACATGTATTGTTTCCATCTAAAATGAAAAACATTATAACAATAAATAAATAAATAAGGATTGGATGTAACTCAGTGGTAGAGTGCCCCTGGGTTCAATCCCTACTACTATAAAAAAGTAAAAATAAAAACGACTA